ACCTGGGCTGCTCCAGTGGTTTCATATCACTTAATTCTCCCTCATGAGTTGAGGACAAGTTCAAGGTAACATCTGCTCGGCTTTATGTTGGTTGTGTTTGTACTGGAGGTCCCTCGGTTCCCATTGTCAAGCAGGTGAAAGGAATGGCTTTGCCAGAGTTCCACATTTTCTGGAAACATTTTCTGGGAGATAACCCACTCTGCTGGGCTCCCCCTGCTATTAGAGGCCCCATTAAAATCAAGGATGTATGTTCAGTGAATTTATTCTTCTGGACTGCTGTGCTTGTTCCACCTTCCTATTTCCCCCTTGAGTTTCTCTATGAATTCATTTCCTGCCTGCTCTGTCCCTGTTGCTGGTGGCACTGGGCTGAGACAGGAGCTGAGCCACCCTGCCCTTGGCAAGCTGCAGGCTTTGGTGGCCCTGCACCTTGCTGTGGTCCCGCAACTGGCAGTGTTGGCCTGTCAGCCACACTTCTGAGCCTCCTTTCAAGTGCTCTGCTGGAAAGCACTACCAGATTTGCTTTGTGGGGACTGCTCCTCAAAGGCAAAGCACACCCTCACACAATGCTCTGCTGGCGATGCCCACAGACCCCGCAAAAGCTGTGGGCAACAAGGCTCTCCTGCAAAGCATTTCAGGGGCCTGTTGATCCTGGGGATGTATCTGAAGGTCATCTCCTCTGCCATATTGCAAGTGTGGTGGGAACTAAGGGGTGTCTTTCTGAAGATCTCTCCTCCTCATGGACTCACATGCCATGCAGAGCTCATTCATCTCTGCAGTGTGCTACTGAACGCCTTGAAGTGAGCCATCATTTCATTTTCGGTGACTTCCTAATGTGTTTGTTCCTTTTTATTCTCCAAGCAACAGCAGAGTCATTGCTGTATTTGGCAAAAGAACAAAGCCTTATTGTTCAAAGCCTGTGTGCTCCAGTATCAACTGGGACAAACACACCATTGCACTCCTAGACCTCCATCTCAAAAGCCAGCTGGACAAAGAGTGAAAAGCCTCAAAATCACAAGCTAGAAAAGCATTTACCTTTATCTTCTCTCTAAAAGACTCTTGAGTAGTTTTATATCTGTGCTTTCTTTCTGTTAGTAATACGTCTCTAAAAACCTGAAAAAGCATCTTTCTCTGTATTGATTTGTCCCTCTGAGCAGCACAGATTTCTCCCCCTCCAACTGACATGGCTCATCCTGTTGATTTGCTTATGCAACTCTGTTATCAATGAATGTCAGTGTGGCTCTGGTCACACAAAGTGGGCATGTTATCCTTTTCTTGGTGATTGCCTGGAATCAACAGCCCTTCCCAGGAGTCTCCTCCACAGGCAGGTGCTGGGGTGACGCCTCAGCTCTTGCACAGCTCAGTGCTAGCCTGGACCCTGGCAGGCAGCAGTGGACTAGCCCCAGGAGGCTACTGTATCTCTGGAACTGCTTTGTGGCTGACCAAAACGTGCAATGCTAGTATAACATATCTCATATCGATACAATGCCCAATTTTCCTGTCATAATTATGCCTGACATACTTATCTACACCTTAAAAGTGTGAACCCAGGCTTGCTTTGCCGCAGAGTACCTATATAATTCTCTCTCCATAAGCCAATACTCTCAGATTTCAATTATTTTTGCTGGTTTTCCCAGCTCCTCCTTGAGCCTGGCAGCCACGCTGGTCAGGAGGCAGCCAGAAAAAAAAGCTTGCACAACAGTGATCAGACAGTTGCTTATCTCTCTGCCCTGGGGTATGTCATGCAGCCCAAAGCCACACCGAGTCTTTTTCTGTTGACAAATTGTAAAGTCATGTTCAATTTCCTGAACATTTCATGTTCAATGCTAACCCTGCAAAGTGTTTCAATGCATTTGGGTCTCCTTCTCCCATAGAGGGTCTTAATTTTGGACTACTTCTTTCCAAGACGTATTATTCTGTGTGTCCTTTTGAGCTAGGTCATTTTCTCCCCATGCCACATATCTTTTTTTGTCCTTTTTGTGTTATTTTCCACTCCTGGCTGGTAATTGCATCTCCTCCCCACTGTAGTATCAGTTGCAGTTTTAATAAACACACTGTCTAATGCTTTTTTCTAGATCATTAATGAAGATGGTAAATAAAACTGGAGTTAACACCAGTTTCTAGTAATAACCCTACTGGATGCCTCCCCACAAGCTGACAGTTTTGTCGCTGATCACTATTCATCACCCAGCCCGAACGTCAGTGTCCCCGTGTGAGGTAATTTATATTCATTTAAAACCATTCATCACAAAATTGGAGAAAAACATGGCTAGAAAGGACTTCAAGAGGCTGATTTCAGAAATATTCCAGAAGCTTCCAGCCTGCTTTTAAAGACAGGCAAGGATACAGGTTTTTATATCCTTGCCAGGCAGGTGGCTTTAGTGTTACTTAGCCTTGCCCTTTGACAAGCATCTAACTTCAACCTCTCTTGCTGCAATCCCGGCACTTTATTTCTTACCACACTCAAAATGGTTATAGAGAACTGTCTAGAGGATGTTTATTTCCTCCTTCTCTGGAAATAGTATTGTCTCTGCCCTGGTTTCCTTCTTTTTGGAGGAAACAATCCCTATGAGTGAGTGTTTCTTCCCAATTCCTCTTTTCTAGACCTCTCATCCCACTTCCTTCCAGACTTTCCTGAATGAACAAGTATTGTAGCAGGACTGGTTAAAACTGAGGCCACAGCTGTGTATTTTACAGGCAGAGCTTTTCTCTGAGTGCACTGATATGGTGACTGCCTTGTGTATGACAAATGGCACTTCTTATTCATTTCAGGTTCCTGCATTGCTGCACTGCTCCACACCTGCCTAATCATCTGTTTCTCATTTTGTCCCTGTGTGCACAACTTTGCTTCTCCCCATTTTTTCAGACCTTTTCTCTAACATGCCAGGATGATTTTTGATTCTAGTCTTCTTACAGGTCTTTGTGGATCCTCTCAGCTTGGTGTCATCTACATATCTGATAGGGATGCCCACTATCTCATAATCCAGCAGCTGGACCTTTGTTGAACCCTACTCAAGCCCTTCTTTTATTTTTACACAAACACTTTCTTTCTGAGCACATTTTTTTCCAATCTGTTTTGCACCCCTCACTTAAGGTAATTTCTCCAGGGCATGTTTCCTTAAATTTACCTCTTGTAACGTGAAATGAGATAGTACCAGAGATGTACCAGAATCAAGATACAAGAAGTATCCTGCTTTGTCTCTATCCACAAGACCTGTTGCAGGATTAAATTAGGCTGATTTGACATGATTTGCTCCTGGCAAATCAGCACTGGCTGTTCCTCTTCTCCTGGTTGTTTCCTAGGTGCTGATGATTAATTTGTTTAATTATTTGTTCCAGTGCGTTTCCAGGAACCGAAATAGAGCTGACTGGCCGTAGCTGCCTCACTCCTCTTGTTTCCCCTTTCTGCAGCCAGGCAGGGTGCTGCTCTGTGAGGAGCCTCACTCCCCCGTGCTGCTGCTGAGGGTTCATGGAGGGTCCCAACCGGGGCTGACCCTTGTGTGGGGTAGAGCTGCACAGCCATCAGACCGATGCTTTCCTCAGCCTTCCTCTGACCACCAATCTATTGCCAGAATGCCTCCCTGCTCGCCTTCCAATTCTGTGCTAGTCCTTTATCTCTTTCTCGATTTTATCCACCACAGTACATGCTGACCTTTGATGTCAGCCCTGAGCTGTCTGCATGTATCCCAGTTTTTCTGTTTGCTACCTCCTTCCCTGTGAAACCCCTGAAAATTGACTGCCACAGCCAGATGATCTTACTCTATATTTCTTAACTTTTAATTTTGCCTCAGTGTGACTTAAGTTTGTGTCATTGCAATTTGCTCCTGTAGATGATTCTGACATTCCTGAAAGTCTTTGTCCTTATTTCCCTGAGTAGTTGCTTACCAGTGTGCTGTGTTGCCTGAATGTCTTTGGTGCTCAGCACAGCCTCTCAATGGGGAAATGCAAATTTCAGACTTCCAATGAAATTATGAGCTTCATCCACTTCCAACTGGACTTTCCCAAGCTGCACAAGACTTCTTGTTTTCGGTAACCTCCTTATCTCTTAGTAAAAGTAAGCACAGTGAGCCAAATTCTGACCTCATTTACACCAGTAAAACCTGGACTGGTGCCAGCAAACTGCTGAAGTTGTTTTGGGCTTACAGTGATGAGAATGAAAGCAGCATCTGCCTCATTAATTCCCCCAATCCACAGAAAGTAAATGATTCCAAGAGGAAATAGCTCCACAGAAGGGAGCCCTGGTAAGAATTAGAGACTGACTTAATGGGATTAAGAGGGAAAAATGCTTAAGCAAATTCAAATTGATTCTCTCTTCAAAACATTCAAGGTGCCAAAACAAACACTGTTTTGGGAAGGAAAAGGTTAAAAAGCTATGAAAACAAAGTATCTCAGCCTCTTCTAATGACGTCCTGTTGCAGAATGAGCACAACCCAGAAAGGGTTGCTGAACCAGCAATACCTACCTGCTGCTTGGTGTTTACCCATGTAACTCTAAGGATAGAGGCTCATTTCCCACTATATCCATGGGGCTCATTCTGCATTTTCAGGTTTGATAAAATACCCCTGGAAACCAGATGGCATTACGAGTAGGATTGGGTGAACAGGCCTGGCAAATGGAAACCCCTCTCACACGCCTCACCAACCTGACATCCGGACCCTAGAGCCATGCTCCAGTTGTTGCTTTGTCTTTTTGTTCTGCAGTTAATCACCATCTTTGCACATTCCTTCACCCATTCCGCACTGTGCATGGCACTAGGATCAGATGGGCCAAAAATAAATGCGTGCAAAGAGCCTGCTCCTGATGAGCTGCCAGATATACCAGAAGCTGCATGCATTCGGCCTGCTTTTGTACAGTGATGTGGAAGGGGAAATAACTTGAGCAACTGGCAAAAGCCAACATGATTCAGGCAGGCAGGTGGCCCTGCACGCTGGCTAGGAGAGGGGTAGGAAGGAGTGCAAGGCTCACACTAGTCACATGGACATTTCTTCTCCTTTTAGAGATCAGAGCACACCACTGCCGAGGGCAGTCAAGTACCCAGGACTTGGACTGTCTACTGTGATGACTTTTGAGGGAGAACAGGGCTTTGTGCAAAGACCCTTACACTGCAAGGTGAGCTTGGCTAAATGAAAGCACGTAGAGGGAATATGTGAGAATGTACAAGGGCCACAAAGCACTCCCTGTGATGAGAGACTACAGAGGGATCTACTTCACATCATTCAGAAATTATAAGGCAACTTGATAATGGTGCTGCAGTAGGAAAGAGATTTCTGAATGGGGACTTCCATTTAGGGAAAATGTACAGTCTGCTAAAAGCAGAGAAAAAACAGATGCAGAGGATAAAAAGAGGGTCTAAATGTTATATGAGGGTAACAAACAAACAAACAAACAAACAAAAAGGCTTTTTTAACATCCTAGTATCCTAGTTAACTCTCCAGACCTTTCAGTCTTTATGCCAAGACTAGGTGACATTCTAACAGATGCATCTGCAAATCTGAAAGAAGTTGCAGGCTTCTGCAACCTCAGAAATGACTGGGGTGGTACCATGGATCTCTTATGCAATAGGTTACACTTGATGATCATAATGGTCTCTCCTGACCTTAAGCAATGAATCCCTGACATTCAGCTGTGCTCGAGTGTGCCACTTTATTGTACAGCAGTTTTGGATCAAAAATAGCTATTATCAGTGAGGTAAACAGAAAAATTAACAGTGTCATTGCTCCAGTACCCCTTGTGCTCCTTAATTTGTTGTTTCTTTATTTTATGTTGTCTTTAAATTTTTTAGTGTGCTGCAGATCTATGTATTGGGTATGCAGAAGCACATTACAGGGGTAATTATAAGGCAGCTGGAGGGTTTTGGCAGCTGGGAAGGGGATAACAAGCACTCTTGGCTCTTTGAGAGGCAGTGTGGGTTTGTAGGAGAGGGATTTTAGCTGAATGATAAGATTGTCAGCAGGGAGAGTCAAAGGGGCTGACAATAGTATTTGCATCATTTTGGAGTTAACCACTTCCAGAAAAGAACATCAGTTTGCAGCTAAATAGAAGTCATTGTTTACCCTGCAGACTGGTAATCTCTTGAATCTTGCAGCAAAGACCTTTTTTCAATGCAGCTTTAAACCCAAAGCATAGGGCGTACGGAGGTTTAAGGCCAAATGCTTCAGGGAAGCCACTGTCACAACACAGGGCTGGCTCTCTGGGTGCTGTGTGTGCTGCAGGACTCTGCCCTGGTGCAGAAGAAGGGTCCACATCACAGCAGTGCACAGCTGAGGGAGACCTTGCTTCACTTTGCCCCAATGAATCTATCTGGGGGTGTTTGTTCTCCTCAAAGCATAGATACCACTACTCTGCTCCCTGTGAAGGCTTCAACCTCACAGCTAAAGAAGGGTGGTCCACATGGGAACTTGGCTTTAGGGAGAGCACAAGCAAAGCTGGAGCCAGGGAGGCAGGATCAGGACACATAGGGTGCCTCTCACTACCATTTTAGTTTGGATGAAAGAAACACATCTCCTGGTCAGGCCACATAACTGTGGTTTGATGATTCATTCCGTGAAAGAGGATTGCAGCATGCAAGCTGGGCTCCTCTCGGATGACACTGTGCTGGGAGAGGAGATGCAGGTGTACACCTGAGATGTTCCAAGCTGTGGCTGCTCACCAGCACTGCTCTTCTTGTGATGCTCTACTTGCCAAGACTGATAGAGCCCTTACTTTCTGTGCCTGTGTCAGTCAAAATCCCCAAATGTCTCGTTTCACAAGATCAGAAGGGGTTAAGTTAATTTATATTTCAGAAGGACCCATCAAAGGAAATGTCTTGGTCATGATATGATCATCAGGAAGGCCAGAGTGTCTAGCTTCTCTTCTGTGGACTGAGTGAGGATGTGAGGTTGGCTTTCTACTGAGAACCAACTTGTGCCTATCTCTCAAGTTTTCCTGCTTAATATCCCTGCCCTGAACCAAGGCTGTGCTAATTTTTCACTGAGCAACTGTGTAGGGGAAATATAAAGTGGTGAGATTAGAGAACAGTCCTGGGCTTGGTTGTCAGAAGCCAGCATAACCCTTCACTGTTCCTGGTCAACATCACCACAGAGGTGATTTCCAAGCTGAACTTTGACCTTTACATTAGTCAGACCATTAGCTCCATTTATTCTAGGAAAATCCTCTCTAAAATGATCATACATTTCCTTTGCCAAACTCAAAACTCGCCTTTGGTTTTATGAGTATAAACTGTTGTTTGAGTTGCTGAATGTTGTTGAAGACTGACCCTCCCAATCCAATCCAGTGACAAGCAAATTGAATCCTAACTTGTATGTCATTTCTCCATCAGAGAACAAAGTGCTTTGGCAGTCTGGATCAAAGGCACTATGTAAATTCAGGATTACTGTTGTTATAGTGAAATGAGCTCCTGGAAAAATCATGTTGACTTCTCTTTTAAGATTGCCTGTAACGTTGAGCCTTTGATGTCTAATGGCCTGGCACTGTGTCTCTTGTAGGCATAGCCTATAAACAGAAATTTATAATGAATAAATAAATTTATAATAATTATAATTTTTAGGACTTAAGAACACAGGCTTATACACATGACACAATGTATATACAGAGCCCAAAGATGTTAGGAAAAGACTAATAGGTGAGGTGTTCCGTTTAATCCAGCCAGCATGGACATCCTTTATGTACTCTCCATCCCATTACAAATGGATGTTCAGTCAGCAGGATGAGCTGTTAGTTCACCTTCTTGCTCAGTCAGGCTCCCCACCTTGTGGCTGTCACGGTGTGCCATGCCCTCACGTTTCTCCTTGTCGTTTTCAGAACCTCTGTGCTCCCCAAATGACTCCAACAAGGATGAGCATATTGCCATGGCAACCAAAATACAGAAGCTGGGAAAGGTTTGTTCCCCTGACCGTCCCCAGTCTGTGTGAGCATCTCTGGCAGAGGTAGAGGGAGTGGTTCTGGGAAGGGACCCATATGGGGTTGAGTTTCCTAGCAGGAAGCAGAGTGTGCAGTGCTCATGAGGCACCTCTCATTAACTTTCCAGGGTGTACAATGGATGAGAGGATGGAGGGAAGGTTTTTTTTCTCTTTCCTCATTCATGGGCCAGCATGGCACAGGTGCTGCATGCAGGACACAAAGTCTGAGGCCAGCCTTGTGCCTGCCATCAGTACTGGAGCGCTGGTGGAAAACAGAGCTCAAAGGAGAGAGCCAGCACTGGCACGGGGTTCTGGGAGAGAAGCACATGCTCTTGCAGGGCAGATTTCTTAGCCCAGGCTGCTGGGGTGGGTTGGATCTCTCATCTTATTTATTTCTTTGTTTGCAACATCAGAGACAGTGGAAGGGACACCCTCCAGCACCTCTGGGAGACTCTGCAGACCCTTCATCACCAAGGCTTTGTCAGGAGGTTGGTATGCCCTCAAAGGACTAAAATCCAGGTTTGGGATATGGTTGGAGCAGCCCTGACCCTCCCCCTCCAGGACCAGCTGCCACTGCATATATGCACATCAGGAGAGAGGAAGTTAGTGGGGACACATGGTGAAACTTCTGAAGGTGCTAATTAAACAACTTTAAGTTATAAACATTTTTAATTGGACTCATTTTTGGTGTCACAAACTATCTCTTGATGAGACAAGTCTTAAAATTAAAGCTGTTTTAATCTCTCTTTCTCTGCTCCTCCCCTCTACCATGGTTGTCTTTCTGGTTGCAAAGTAGAAAGGAATCACTGAGGCTTCCAGGCTTTGCTGAAGGCTGCTATTTTTAAGGTGTTATATTTGATTTACTTTAAACCTGCCCAAAAATTCCACCTTGGGACCAGACCTCCTTTATCAGTGTTATAGCTAACTTTCTGCTTTTGCACATAGATTTTTAAGGAGGAAAGACAAAAGTTGGGCTTCTAAGAGATGCTAGCTCACCACCTTAATGATGACAGCACCATCCTTTAGTGTAACCTTTGCCCAGGGATAGTGCAGCATACCACTGTCTCCTTGTGATAAATGATAGGTCATCATCTCTTTTTCTTTCTTTTTTCTTTTTTTTTTTATTATTATTATTAAATGTTTCTTAAATTACAGAAATGGGTTTGTATTGAATTACAAGATACAAACACCATTGGGTTTTCCTGTGGGCTCCTTTGTCACTGTCATGGGCTAACCAAAACTTTCCAGGCTTTATGAGAGTGGGGGCTGTGGTCCAGGCTGTGCAGGTCATACCCTGTTCTGCCCTGGGAATAGCTAAAGACATCACATTTCAGCCTGTGTCTTATGAGCCAATTGCTGCTTCACATGTGATCTCTACTGTGCAAGACCAATTTTAAACCCAAGGTCTTGAAATTAATGATTCCCAGTGAGAGCCTTTCTCCAGGGGCTCAGGAGGACAGAGATGGAAGGGGCTGAAGATTTCACTATCAGTCTCACCTTTTCTTTCCTTGCCCTGCAAGCGTTCCTTAACGTGGCACTCTGCTGACAGCAGCAATATTTTGGTCAATGTGCATGTACAGAGATGTCTGTTCATCTGCTGAGCAGCCACCAGCCAGGGATGCACAGGTCAAAGAGGATCTACACTGGAAGGGTGCTTGAGCATCCCTGTCGGTAGCAGCTGGTGCAGGTCAAAGGCTGTGCTCTCCACTGGACAGCTCCTGCATTTTGGGAGAGGTGGGAGGAGCTGACAGAGCTGTCCTAGGACTGCCTTGTGCTCAGGCTTCAGCCTTGCAGCTGAGGTTTGCTACTTTTACCTCCCCACTCATGGGATCTGTACACTAAACTTCAGGGGATTTATAACCTGCCCTGCCAAGAGGAGACAGATATTTCTGGAAGCAGCGAGATGTGGTCCTGGCAGCTTCCTCAATTCAGCACTGAAGCTGGGTATTTCACAGCTTGCATAACCCCAGTTTGCTTTGGGATTTTTGCTGAGGAGATATGATGCCAAGGGCTGCACTCTAGAGGTTTTATTTCACTTCCAGGAGGCTGCCTGCCATTTCTATATTGTCTCACATGGTCACGGAGCACTGCAGGTAATGGAAACCTTTAGTTTTCATTGATTATTCACAGCGCAGTTTGCTTTGCTAGGCATCCTCATAGGCCACAAACCCTGCAGCCTTCCAGTATGGGTGAGGGGACACATTTCCTTGCCACAGACAATTTGGCTTGAAAATTAATTTCCTTGGAGTGTTCCAGCTCTGCAGGTAATGGACACTTGGGTGACTTTGACTTGGGTTCACTCTTTACCAACTGCTTGTGCCAGCTCTGGGCCTCCTGGATTCCCCTAACCCAGCTGCTGCCCCCGAGAGGGTTTGTTATCCCATTTATGCCAGGACCTTGCCTCCTTACATCCAGCCACGAATTCCATTTGCTAATCCTGATCTCTGCCCTGCAGGGAGCTGACTTGGGTTCCTGACAGTGTGAGCTGGGACCTAGCAAGGCCAGCCAGGAAATGTTGAAACTCAGCCATCTCTATGTCACTTTAAATTTTGGGGGGAAATCCTGAGAAGCTCTTTATGGAGATTGTATTTTTGCAGCAGCCTGTTTCCTCTTTCCCTCTCCTTCTTTGCTTTCCCCACCTCTTTGTCTGCTAAATAAAACAACCTACATTTTTGACCTGAATTACTTTATGTGTCCCTGAAGGCGTATGCAGCTCCTTGGATTGCAGGAGGGTTTTCTTCTACGGTGCGGTCAGATACCATCATTAGAGATGACAGTCAAGCTGGATCCCCCCCTCACCCCAGTCTGAGCACTGCATTTTTATTTTGAAATACAAACAATAACCCCCTGGATTTCTGTAGCACTGGCTGTCAGGGAGAAGATTGGGCTGCTTTACAAACAGGCAGGCATCAATTCTGTGGGCAAAATACCTCCCTGTTTCTGCAGGTGAGAAGTGGAAAAGTAAAAAAAATTGCCAGCATCACTTAACAAGGGCTTGAATCTGCCTGCACCTGGATTCATGTAAACCAGCAATAACTCCAATGCTGTTAGCAGAGGAACCAGCAGCACACCAAAACCAGGGCCCCAATCTGAATGTGGCTCCTCCAGGCCCTGCAGCATCTTCCCCTCTGCCCTGCTAGTGCCTCTCTCTGGTAACCAAACTTCCCCAGGCTCCCTGGAGGGTGTCCAAGGACCATGCACCTCAGAGCAGCAGCAGGAGGATGGGTGGGGTGTCCTCTCTTTTACCCTCACCTGTGCTGCTGGAGCTGAGGGAGCAGCTAAAACCTTGCAGAGAGCCTGTGGCTCAGCCCTTAGCAAAGCCCCACACAGAGCACACGTTCCGAGTGGTGAGTTTTTTGAAAGGACAATGAAATTTCTCATTCTAGCTCGTTTTAACACTCTTCCTCTAACATGCATGGCAGACTTGCTGAATTAAACCAGCCATGCTAATTTCTCTTGTTACAGCAGCCCTGCGTAACACACAAAATGCTCAGCTTTGGAGGATGATATTATAAAGAAGGACACTGTAATTTAGTGGCTCATTTAATGTGAACCAGGAGAAATATGAGGCATGCCAGTGCCGCACTGGGGCTCTATTTATATCCTTTTTGGTGTGCAGTATGATTTATAATAAAGGATCATTTTTATATAGCATTAGCATGGTAATGGAGCTTACTGGGTTACCATGTCTGAAGTTAGAAAATATTGTATTAGAAGAAGCTCTGCAAACGCCATGTAAGAATAGCCCTTTCTACAATATTAAATCATGATTCCAAGCTTTCTAAAATAAATATTAATGCACTCTATTTACCTAGGAATCCAGGCTTTTATCAGTGCAGCAGGAGGATCTACATCTCTGAGCTCAGAAGATTTGTGCAGCCTCACAGAGTTCATTTTGTGTCTCCCAATCCTGCTGCTCAGCAGGCAGCACCCTCTGGCACCGGGAGCATCCTCCTCTGCCAGGAGCTCAGGAGGGGGGCAAAAGGCAGAGACAGCAGAAAAGCCATGCTCTTCTGGGGAGTGTGGTATCACAGCTTATGAGAAGTATTTCCTCCCTCTGTTCCCCTGTGCATGAAGCCCTGTGGCCCCCCACAAGTGTCCCCTGCCTGGGGGATGTTGGTGGGGAGGAGGAAGGACCAGGATTTACCCCCTCAGAGGTTTTTTGGAGGCTGCACAGTAAGTAAGTAGTGGAGCCAGGATGAGAGCAGAGCCACTGCTGGCACCTCGCCCTCTGCATGATTCAGAGCTCGTTTCAGAAGCAAGAGGACTGCGTAAAATTTCATTTGTCCATCTAGAAAGCAACGTGTTCTGCTTCCCATTTAAAGCTCGGGAACCTCATGATGATTCAGAGCACATACAGGAATGCACTTCTACACTGATTTCTAGTGCCAGGTACCACAGTGTGTGCCAGTGATTAGTTCTGCCGTGCAGGTGGGCAAAAGAACAAAATTTGGTTTAGAAATAAGGGGGCAACTAATCAGCCGGAGGATGCCAGCAAGAAGGAGAGCTTGCACAGGCAGAGCACTGCCTTTGCAAATATCACTTCCATTGGAGCTGGAGTGCAAGGTGGGGAGATGTGAAAGGTTTTCTTAAAAACATGGAGGTTGCTGGTGTTGCTCACCCCTTAAGGAAAGATGCTCAGCCCTTCTTCTTGTCCCTGCTGGGCAGGGAGGGGCTGCAGGAGGCCGCAGTGCCAGAGTCCCTCTGACCAGCTGCACAGCTGAGACTTGGCTTTTGGGGCACAAGGTGACAATCTGGTTCTTTTCCATGCTGGTGGGGCTGATGGCTACACTGGCCATCCTGGACCAACCTGCAGGAAGGGCAGCTGTGAGGAGACCACCTTTGGGGCCATTCATAACACTGCATGCAGCTGGCAGACTGTGCAAGCACGTGCTCCCAGTCCATGCTCCCTCCTGGTTCAGGACAAGATGGATGTCCCTCTGCAGCACCCAGAACATGATGTCTTGCTGGAGGGAAGTCCCCCTGCTCCCCATCCTCCCAGCTCTGTGGGGACACAGCCACTGTTGCCAGCCAGGAAGGTGACATGCAGGAGCAGACAAAGCCAGAGCTGACTCTGCTTCCCGCTGAGCCAACCTCAGGGAAATTACCCAGCCACTTTGAATAAAAGTAAATTAAGCAGCCTGGCAGTAACTCAGACCATATTTTATTAACTTGGCCAGAACCAAGTAACATTAATCCACCACCCTGAAATTTCTTTTTTTTACAGCCATGCTCTAATATATGAAAATGTGCTGGCAAAATTTTCTGTAGGTTACAACCCTCCAATTAGCAGCCCTCACACAGTGGGAGGGTTATCCCTTAGATAGGGGCTGAGATGCAGTGTGGAGTCCCACATAGCCCACCAGAGCACCAAGGAAGCCATTTCCCCGCTGCTCGCTCTGCCACCTCGGGGAAAGCCCTAGTGGCTCATAGCTTTTTAAGTGAGGGATGCAGGAGCCTGAGGGGCCTTGGTGGTCACTGGGAAACAGTAGGGACTGCCTTCAGCCCACAGGAGTGAACTGCTCTGCAGAGGTGCCTCCCTCCCTCTCTCCCTTGCCTGTGCAGGAGTAAAACAGTTTTTCTTGGCTCAGCAAATGCTGTGTCTCAGTTCTGCACAACTGGGGGTGCATC